AACCAAGAATTTGACCCGCGTTTCACACAACACCCACAACCCCCCCACACGAGGTGTGGGGGGGGGGAATTTGTGGGGGTTGGAGTCCCCCACAGCTTAAAATTGTTGAGGTTGAGAAGGGCTGAGCTAGATAGATGTTGAATTGGTGTGTGTTTGTGCAGGAGTGTATGTGCACCGAACGTATATAAAATTGCATGCTGAGCAAATTATCAAACAAGGCCCTCCCCTTTCCTTCCTGTTACCTCCCATGTTATTTCCCAAACATCATTAATAAAAAGATGTAAGAGAAAACCTATTAGATCTCAGATTCTTTGAAATGTCATCCCATGTCAACATCGTTAGAGCAGTTTAGATGACAGTCTTGCCTCCTAGATACAGTAGCGGTATTAAACCTATTAGACCAGTGTTTCTCAACCTTATCAACTTCAAGATGGGTGGACCAACTCCCAGAATTCCTTAGCCAGCATGACTGGCTGTAGAATCCTGGGAGTTGAAGTCCACAGATCTTGAAGTTGCTGAGATTGAGAAACACTGTATTAGAGACTGAATGTACTCATTTTACTGCTTATATATTTGGTGGTGGGAAGGAGAAGAATGAAAAATTACACTGCTGCAGCTTGGAGTTGAATTTTGGCAGTGTACTTTTGGGAGAATTGGTTGTGAGAACCCCTAAATAGGTTGTGGGTCTATGCTCATCTGAGTGGCTGCTGTCCACTGTCCTAAATCAGATTTATGTCTGCTCATAGGCCAAACAAAATGAAAAATAACATCTTTCTAAAACAAATTCCAGTCCCAGAGAGGTGGTGTTACTTTGAAGGAGCAGCTACCAAGAGGTGGGGTTAGGTTGATTTCATATCATTTAGAATAAGCTCCTTGGAAACACACAGTGAACTTTTCCTGTTTATAACTGCACAGTATTGCCAACTCACCTTGGGTCTCAAGAGAAAAGCAGATTGTCAGATTAAACTGAGACTAAAACAGAGCAGGGCTGTTGCGACCCGGCATAAAGATCTAGGAATCTGGTGGATTGGAGAAGACTCCTAGGAAGACATTCTTGCTGGGTTCCCACAACCTGTTTAACCTTAAAATCCAGATAAGAAAGTGCAGTTGTATTCTCATAACATGCTATGGTTTCATGTAATACCTGGCTTATTTATTTATTTATTTATTTATTTATTTATTTATTTATTTATTTATTTATTTATTTA